TTAATTGTTCCTCTGTGCAAGTCAAAACAAGATTAAAGAAAAAAAGCACATAGTTAATAATATACTTTTTACTTTTTAATAAGTCTCAAAGCTACGTATAAATACACACACACACACACACAAACTAAACAAACAAAAGGTGATTTGTGTGACATCAGCGTATTTTCATTTTAAATGTGCTGAGGCTATTTTGGCTCTAAGGAAGCTGCTGGTAAATGTTCAGTGGAAGTCAAGTGCATGTTGATAGCACTGACAAATGAATCTGTGCAAGGTACTATAAACTCCTACATGCAATCTGGACTTGTCATCTTGTGAATCACTCCCTCACCAAATGCTCCACCATCTGACTGCCTGAGAATAAATCTGGAAATTATCATCATAAGCCAAATCTTACAGTGGTCCTTACAAACATGGCCAATCCAATAGAGAAACAGTTCTAGAAATACGACACAGCCGTATGAACACACCTGAAACGCTCCTGTCCTGCTGTATCCCAGATCTGGAGCTTGACAAACTTACTGACCACACTGATTACCTTCGAGCCAAATTCAACCCCAATAGTGTGATTCGAGTCATCTTTGACTGGAGGAACAAGGAAAAGACATCAGCAACAGAACAGTGACATTTGAGATTTTTCATAGATTTGTTTCTCAATGTTGAATGGCAAGACAACAGAAACTGACATACATCTTTTTTCTATAAAATGATGAAGCAGACAAGATTTTCCAGTTCCTGCATTTCCTATCACAAGGAACTTAAACAGGAAATCTAGAGGGGAGGAAAACCAAAACAATAAAGATGTTTTCTCAAGAACTGCATAGAATTCTCATAATAAATAAAAGAGTATAGGAATGCTACTATATCAAACATTAACCAGACTATAGGCTATTAATACTCAGTCATAATCTGTACACTAAAGAGATATGTCATAACATCCAGGTTATATATCCAAATAAATAACGGCTTTCTATAGTCATTATTATTGTCAGTACTGTATAATTGACTAATCAAAGATTAATAAACACTTATATGAATGGCGTCGACAGATGAAACATATGGCAGACAGATAGCTGCTGCCTAGCTGGCACTGAACAGAGCTTGCAAGCAAATACTGTGATGAATGAGCTCGGGACACCTGCTAAACTTCATTATATGCTGTCGATAAGAAGTGTGGCAGGAGAAAAGGAAAATTAGTCACCCTACCGTATGTCTCTGACATGACTGGCGCTGTGTTTCTAGTCTATTTATACTGTGTTTCCTTCTTTCAAGGCAATCAACAAGGATATCAAATAAAGGGAAATCCCTTCGAGGATTTCGCGCATCCTTGTCGGAAGTTTGTGTAGCAGCTACTTCCTGTTGAGATTTTCAAAATAAAAGTCCAGGACTCTTTGCAAAATGACACAAAATGCACGATTTTTCTAAAAGTGATGAAAATAAATAAACAATTACTTTTATTCTTGGTCATGAGTGTTTTTTGTTGTTGTTGGTGTATTTCACAGACATGTATGTAAATCT